CACTGTGAATGTCAAAGATGATTATATTCTTAGTAATACTATTTACCCATAGATAAAGCCTTTGCTATGTTTTAGGTACTGTGCTTATCATTTTACATGTTATCTCTTTGAATCTACACCTGTTTTGAAGTAGATATTATGTTTTGCATAAGAAAACTAAAGTCACAACAAATAAATAACTAGCTTTTTTGTAAAGTCACATTTGTTATTTGAGACAGAATTCAAACCCAGGCCTAACTCTTGACAATGTGTCCCAGCTGCCTTTTCTTAACATACTTATGCTATTCATCTCCGTGCTTTTGGTTCACATCACTGATCTGTGGCCTTAATTTCTCTTGCTCATCAATCTGTGTCTAAAGGGAATAAGAAGGAGGACTCAGAAGTCTAACAAAAAGCAACATGTATAGGTGTTCATAGGGATACTTGGGAAAAAGATGTTACACACTGCTTCAGCAAGTTTTACAGCCTTAGAAGCCTGGTGGAACAATTCAGTTCTGTACAAAAGGATTGCTATGGGTCAGAATTGACTCAGAGGCACTAAGGCTTGAGGTTTTTATAGGGTGCTGGCAGCCATCTTCAACCTTAACCAGTTCTGAGAGGTAGAATCTAACATTTTCTGATACTAGTAATTTGCTTTATCTCTATGTTTTGGATTTTGCTTTATACATAGCAGTTATTTTTCCAAACACTATAAACAGTCACACCTTGTCCACACAGTTAAATTCTGTAACTGTTTAAGAAAAGTACATACCTGGATGAGTTGGAATTTATCTTATTCCAAGAAACTAATAACTAATATGTGGGAGAATGGAAAAGTCAAGAAACCCTTAACAGTAGCTTTATCATTTTGAGTATCATGATTCTTCGAGGAACAGGAAAATAACAGTACACAAGACTGTATTTGAAATTTTAAAAAACTAGTGTGAACCAGAGATCTTTGATGGAGCATTGTCAGAATTTCAGAAACTGCAAGTTGTTACACAGATGTATTGATTTAATTAGTCTAGATAACACCATTTATTTATGCTTAAGCATCTCACACATGCAAAAGTTGGTAATTCGAAGTCACACAATAATTTGTGAGTTATCTTCTATACCTCGTTTTGTTGCTTCTGAATACCAACTTGGGTTAGTATGTGTGTCAGATGCTTAAGCGTAAATAAATGGTATTATATAGACCAGTTAAGCAAAGAGCTTAATTCTAGAATTTTGTCAGCATAGTATTTCATGCAAAATCTTCTGACAATGCCTTTTATCGTAATTCTTTAAAACATGGTTTAATCACATGTGGTAAGTTGGAATCAACTTTACTGGACAACAACTACTTACAGATCCCATAATATACACAAGATCTTCATTGGAAGCAACATATATCTAGTGGATTTTTGCTGATAAAGAAATCTTTGGAAATCCTTAATAGATATTGTTGGAGCTTGTCAAAGCTTTTGTGGTTCACCAAAAGGGACTATTTAGAATCTCTTTGCTACTCTCTTTCTGTCTTTCTCTGCTACCTGTCTTTCTTTGTTATTCTAATTTTAACTGTAAGAACACAGAGTAATCCAGATCTGGCTCCTTTTATTAGGATTGAGTAAAAGTTATTTCTGCATGCTTTTACAATATTATTTCATATATGTTTTTAAAAAAGTGCTTTGTGTGTGTGTCATTTTTGGGGTTATTTAAAATACTAAACAGTTGAAAGATTATGCAGATGTTACACTTGGAATTTAGGTAGCATCTTTTCTCCCAGAACTTGGGATGCTTCATCTCTATTACATTTTTTTTTCTCACCACATTCCCTAGATGATAGAAAAGGAAGAGCAAAGGTTAATTAGTCTAACAGATAGGTAAAGAGATCTTTCTAGGGGTTAAATGTCTTGCCAAAAGTCAAACTTAATAAATAAGTAGTTACAGATAAGGAAAGAATTTCAGAAGCCTGGGAGAGTGCAGCACCCTACCCATTGAGAAATGTAATGATGATGTTGTTGTTGTTAAGTGCCATTGAGTTGTAGGTGACTCATAGCAACCCTATGAATGAAAGTCCCCACACTTGCGTGATTTTCATCCTTGGTCCAGATTCATAGGGTTTCCAGAGGCAAGCTATTTACGCAAGTGGATGTCACTTACCTTGACTAGTACTAGTCAGTTCTTACTCTTTTGAGACTATGCAGCCTTTTAGTTAAGACTGTCCTGTAATCCTTAGAGGCTGTTAAGAGTTCTTCCTGTTTGGTGCAACTGGCTTAGAGCCCAAGTATAATATTTTCATGTGTTCTTAATTACTTCAAACTGTCGGTTGCCTATGTTACTCAGCGTTCATGGATATGTAAAATGTCACTTTTATGACCATTAGTCATTACTACATCATGTTCCATTAATAGGATGTCTCATTTAATATGTATTTGATCACATACATATGTAATGATAAAAATGGGCATCACAAAAACCAACTCAAAGTGGATCAAGGATGTAGGACTAAAACCAAGGACTATAAACTTCATTAGAGAAAAGCTTGGAAGAACTCTAGAAGCCCTAATCCACAGCAAAAACAGTCTTCCATGCATTCTGAAAAACCTACAACCAGGAGAGGATAAAATAGATGAGTGGGACCTTCTATGAATCAAATCCCTATGCACATCCAAGAACTTCTCCAATAGGGTTAAAATAGAAGCCACAGACTGGGGGAAAATATTTGGAAATTACATGTCTGATAAGGACTTATATCTAGAATTTATTAAATACTCAAGCACCACAACAAGATAAAGGTAGACATTCTTTTTCCCTTGTCTTATTACTGATTGTTATTTCTAGGTTATTTTACTTATATATCTTTTTCTATGTTGGAGAATCATGTTAGAAAAATTAGCACTTTTTTAATTAAATTTTAATTCATTTTAATGAACATTTACAGAGATTTTGGGTTTCCATTCATTCATTGTTGCATTATTTTCTCTATCCTCCCCCTGCCCCCCAGTTCGTTCCCCCTTGAAAGTCTGTTTTAATTGTCCAGTTGCCACAGTGCTTGTCAAAGCTAGTTCTGATTAATCTCCTCTGTCAGTGTGTCCTTTGCCATTCCCTATCACTCCTCCCTGAGAGAGACTTCACCCTGATTCATAAGAAAAGGGGACGGCGTATTCTCTTAGCTACTTCCTGCTGAAAAGGGACGCTGTAGGTTTCAGGGTGAAGATCTTCTCTCACTACTGTGAAGGGCCCCTTTGGCAATAGGAAACACATAGACTATTGTGGAGATTGCTTTTGGAATTTAGATGCACTGTTATCAATTGTGCTTAGCCGTACATGTTCATATCCTTGAAGATGTATCATGGAAGTGTTGGAGCCTAGAAGACACAAATTTAACTAACAAAAGTACATGAGTCAAAAATTAAAAACAATAATCCAAGTAGAGGTTCTAACAGTGGCACAAATCAAGTTACAGAGGAAAGGTAGTTCTTAAAATAAAAGGCTTATTGACTAGCACTTTGTCTATTATAGTATAAAGGTTAGGAACCACAAGATGTAGAGGCTCAACTATGTCATTTATTGTTCTTAAGTCCTGGACCAAATTCCATCTACCACTGGGTGGTTTTACAGCTCTGAAGTCAGCATGCAAGGCAGAGGTGAAGTAAGGAACTGCTTATGAGGTTTTCCGTCAATTCCAACAACTAAGAAATAGTGAGAAGAGTTGGGACCTCAGAAGGCTTTTAGGACCAAATAGTAGGCTCTTGTGTCCAGGAGAAAGCGAATATACTTACCAATAAGGTTAATGCTCACCCACAGCTCTTCTTGAGGATCTAAATCATTGAAGCGTCCTCCTTTGTTTCCATCTGGGAGCTGGGGCCTGTCAGTCCTGTCAGCCACGAGGACCTGATGTGGGCCACCCTTGGGCAAGTGTCCTTCAGATCCACACTTAAAGCAAGTGAGTGGGACCTTCCTCTCCACTCCCTTGCCTATCTGTGGCTTTCGTCTGTGACACTGTCTACTGAAGTGGCCCAGCTTTCCACAGTGGAAGCAATTCTGACCTCCTTTATTACCTTTGGGTGGCACTGTTTATGAGTAAGACTTCCTTTTCCTGGCACAGGCCCTAAACTGGCAGCAAGAGCTGCCCCAATAATTTTGGCCATTCTCTGGTCTTTTCTCTTCCCTCTAGATCCCAGTTGTTAAAAGAGGGAAAAATTTAAACATATAGATAATAAATAATTTTGAACAATATAATCTTTTACGCTTAAGGTTAGAAATATTAACAATATGATCATTTCCAGTCCAGAGATACATGTTCCAATGCAGTTCCTATTTTCCATAAATGGTTTTGTTAAGAAGAATATTGTAAATGTGGATACAGTTCCACTATTCCTCCATTTAAATTTATTATTAATTTCAGTAAAGATTTACAGAGGCTTTGGATTTCCATTCATTCATTGTTGCAGAAATTAGCATTTCAACAACTTCAGTTAGTGCTATCTTCATTAGAAATCTAGAGATTTGACTTTCATATTTAACATTTTACTAGCTTTCCCTATCCTAAGAGTTGTTTCTTCTATAGTAAGGCATACAGTTTACTATTTGAGATTTTGGTCCAGATGTCCAAACTCAGCTTGTTCATTTTGGATGGTGTGGTTCTAGCTGCTGCTTTCTTCGTTTGTAGCTTGGTAACTCCCAGAATTGTATTTGTTGGTTGCAACAATTAGGAGAGACACAGAACACCCAGTGCTTTTGTAATAGGCCATGTTGCACAGATTTTTTTAAGAAGAAAAAAGTTTTTTTTACATTCATAGAAGTACTCCAAATGATCTTTTGTTTAAAGAAAACAACCTGACCTCTTTTACCCTCTTAACACACTCAAGGATCCTCTAGAGTTCTCTAAACAGTTTCTTTCATGGTAATTTATTCCATTGCTGCTAATATTTTCTTACTCATCAATACCTGGAATACTCCTGTTTGCTGTGGGAAAAGATGGTGGTATGACTGTTTTGACCATCAGTTTGCGCTTTTTTTTTTTTTTTTTGCAGACTCCATACCATGTCAACCTCCTCCTGGCTGGCTATGATGAGCACGAGGGCCCAGCGCTCTACTATATGGATTACTTGGCAGCCTTGGCAAAGGCCCCCTTTGCAGCCCATGGTTATGGTGCTTTCCTGACTCTCAGTATCCTAGACCGATACTATACGCCAAGTAAGTACCAGCATTAGCTAGGGAGTAATAGTAGAGCCCTGCCTTTGGCTTCTTCCTGGTTTGAGACATTACCCTTAGAGTTGAGTGACCAAGACTTGAATAAAAGTACACTTTAGGAAACACACAAACAGCTTCGTTCTGGAAGCTGTGCTCTCAAAAAGCTGGTAAGAAGCATCTTTTTGCCAGATACAGTGAAATTTTGTATGTGTCAGGAACTAGACTTTGTTTGAGTATGGATTACATCTCAAGATAAAGAAAATACAAATCCCCACCACTGGACCAATAGGCAACATTATGGTAGATAGAGAAAAGGATTTGTCAATGATTGCATTTTACTTGGACCAACACTCAATACCCAGGGTTACAGCAGTCAAGAAATCAAAAGGTGTGTTGTCTTGGGAAAATCTGTTGTTAAAGACTTCTCCCAAATGCTAAAGAGCCTAATGTGTACCTGATCCAAGTCATGGTCTTCTTAATTGCTTGACTGCATCTGAAATGGGACAATAAATATGATTGACAGAAAAAAAAATTGATGCCTTTGAGTTCTGGTGTTAGAGTACTGAATAATCCTGTGGATTACTGAAGAACAAATAGATCTGTCTTTAAGAGGTGCAGCTGGGGTGCTCCTTAGAGGCAAGGATGGTGATACTTAATCTCACATACTTTGAAAATGTTGTCAAGAGAGGTGAGTCTTTGGCAAAGGACATCATTCTGGGAAAGGGACGACCAGAGAAGGAGAGGAAGACCCTCAACAAGATGAATTGACATAGTGATTATCACAATGGCCTTAAGCATGTCAGAGATTGTGAGTATGGCACAGGATCTTTGAGTTGTAGACAGCGTGATACACCTAACAGCAACAGGTCCTGTTTTGTTTTAAAATGTGAAGAAAGAGATGCAAAATCACTGAACTTTATTATTCTATAATACTTGTTATAAGAGGTCCATTTTTTTCACTCTTTATGCTCTGCCTGTGTTTTTATTGGTGTCTTAGCTATAAAACCTGAATGAGTAAGCCAAGTAGTTTATGTGTTTTGCTTTGAACTAGTGAAGTTAGTTGTACAGGTCTCCAACTTGACAACTGAGGATTTCTTTCTTTTTTTTTCTTTTTTACAACTGAGGATTTCTTTACTTAAACATCCACGTTTTTTTAAAGCCACTAACCTGGGCCCGCCTTTTGTTCTTATTACCTATTATTAGCTGCTCTCTCCTCCAAGAAAAAGTTGATTATCAGTTTGACAGAGTTCAGATCTAGGGATGTTTTTGTGCTGAATCTAACAAGGTGGATTGACAACAGTGATTATAACAATAGATTCAAGCACATTAGAGACTGTGAGGATAGAACAGTATTTCAGTTTGTTGTCCATAGGGTCACTGAGTTGTAGTTGATTTGACAGCACATAATAACCCCCAGTCCCAACTTTCATTTTAGCCACTATGGACAATAGGACTTGGAATGGCTCCTTTTTTTTACAAGCTGTAGATGTAGCACTGATAGCCACTTCTCTCCTCACATTCCATTCTTCCTTGGCAATATTGTAAAAATCTGGTGTTTGTTCCTTTCTAGTGCTGTCCTCTATTAACCCTTAGTTATCAGAGCTCCCGACCACATCCTGAAAACAATTAGCCTGACCTCCTGGTGACTTACTTGAGTTGGCGTCTTTCAGTAACAGCTGATTTTCCCACCAACATAACCACCAGCCCCTCCTCCCTTCTGAAGCTTATCTTTGCAATATGTCATCCCAGTTAGCCATGCCTGTGGATGTTTCCTTTGGCTCCTGTTTTGATAGTCTCAGCCTCATCCCATGAATTCTCTTCCCATTGTTCAACTGAGACCCAGCTGGGGAAGTGAAGCCTAAAACTCTGGCCTTGTCCTCCCTTTCCCTGATTTGCAGCTGGCTAGGGCAGATGGAACTGATTTAAGCCCTGGACTAAAGGTGGGGGAAGGAGGGTGTGTTACTAAAACACCAACAGGCAGTAGGCTGGATTTCTCTGGAGGCGGGACCCGGCCATGGCAGCAGAATTCCGTCATGCTCACCCCTCTCTGGAGCAAATCAATTTGCAATGGCTTATGGCTGCAGAAGCATTAGGTCTGGGGCTCCCTTAACTGTATATGTGGTAAGTTTGTTCAGGCTGGAAGGATAAGTCATTTTTGCCTCTTCCATTTGTGTGACCTGAATGGTTTGAAACTTAATAAAAAGTTGTGATGGGGTGTTGGACTTAATGACAGCCCTTTACGTGTTTGACCTCTGTTTTCTTTCAGCTATTTCACGTGATAAGGCAGTGGAGCTGCTTAGGAAATGTCTAGAGGAAGTGAGTATTTGGCATGGGATCCTGAGATAATTGTATTGTCTCCCTGTTTGCCAGTGTTGTTCCTCTTTCTTGCTTGCATTTGTTCAGATCTTACCCAGAGATGTAATAAATTCCCAGCTGTGAAGTTGCTGTCAGGAGTGTGGTTTAGTGCATAGCAGGCTTGTCTTTGCTCTCGTGGGTCATCTCCTCAATGTCAGTTTTGTAATTTAAGTGCTTTCCTTTCTGGTTTATCCAGAGCAGTGGTTCTCAAATTTTAGTGTTTGTAAAAATCATCAGAGAAATTTGTCCTTAAAAAACAAATTCCTAAGGGAGCTCTGGTGGCCTAGGGGCAAGAAGCTGCACTGCAATCCCAGAGATTTGCAGTTCAAATCCACCAGATGCTCTGCTGTAGAAGGAGGGGCAATCTTCTCCTGTACCAGTCAGATCCGATTTGACGGTACACACACAAAATAATAAAATTTAAAAAAACAAACAAACCAGCAACCAAATTCCTAAACACCACACTGTAGAGTTTCTGATTTATTTGTTCTGAATTAATGCCTGAGAATCTTTGTTTTAACTAGCCATCCCAGATTATTTTTGTTGTAGGAGTAGCCATACTGTAAGAACTGCTATCCTACTCCATTATACTTACCATATTCCTGTGCCACTTGGGATTTCCATCCTGTCTGCCACCTTAATTGTGTGTGAGTCCTTGTAATCTAGAGAGTAAGCCTCTCCTTCCCTGAGAATTCAAGAGGCTAGAGAAAGCATCTTGTATCTTTGAGCTGAGACTTTATGAAAATGCAGAAGTGTTGGGTTAAAGACAAGTCAGTCTGGATTGGAGGAGAAGCAGAGGTTATCCCAAGAGTAAATCTGCTAATTTCCTCTCCTTACCACTCCAGCTACATACTCAAATACACAGACCTGCTCTTTACAGATGGGTAGGTGGGTGAAGCAGGCTGTTGGGACATAGAAGCACACTGCTTATTGCTAGGATAAGCACCTTCCCTACGTTAAAAACCTTTTTTTTAATTAAGAGAGAAGCCTATATTTGCTAGAGTGATTGGTAATAGAGTATGGAGAAGAAGCAAGAAGCATTGAATTGTATGTGTCATCAGATGATAGAATCCCAGCTGCATTTCTAGTTTATATTCACTACCTTCCAAGCATCCTCATGCTTGTGTTTTAGGCTTTGTTCAGTACCCCAGTACTGACTGTCCCCAGGAGAAAATCGTGAGTCTGCTTAGTTCCCCAGTGCCTAGAACAGTCTATAGTTAACCAAAACACCAATTCGTTGCTATCAAGCTGATTCTAATTCCTTATGACCCTGTAGAACATAGTAGAATTTTCCCAGAAAGTTTCTAAGACAATCATTACGGAAGCACAAAGACACATCTGTCTCCTGTAGAGACTGGTTTATGGGTTCCAACTGGTATCGTAACAGTCAGCACCCAAATGCATGATCAGGGCTGCTTGGTAATAGCTACTGCTTAATAAATATTTGTTGACTGATTTCCTTCCTATCTCTCTACAGCTCCAGAAACGTTTTATCCTGAATCTTCCAGCCTTCAGTGTTCGAATTATTGACAAAAATGGCATCCATGATCTGGAGAATATTACTTTCTCTAAACAGGAATCCTAACATTGTGCCCGCCCTTCCACCTTCCATGGAACTTTTGTAATGGGCTCCTTTATTTTTTTCTACTCATTTGACATGCACTCTTGATATTATATATGATTAATTCAGAATAAAGCTGAATATGGATAAATTGAGTATTCTGGTTTGAATTTCAGTTTACCCATCTCCTCAGGTTAGAGACAGAAAGAATTAACTACATTGAATTTTTTACCAGGATTGCCTTCCTCCTGCTTCATCTCCTCATTCTTTTTAGCAGCTGGCAGCACACATTCTTACTCCACTGTCAGTCTTCTTCTCATCTAACTTTTTCACATACTTTAATGTCTCATTGCTCTAAAGCAATGGTTATTTTTGCCCCTAAGCTTAATTTTTTCAAAATATTATTTATACAGTAGATAATACATGCATTTATATCCATCCCTAAAACCTGGTCACTTATTTCCTTTCCCAGAGAAAACTATAGCTACAATTTTTTTTCTCTCTTACCCGTTGAGAAACACTTTGTTAATGTATAAAGTATATACATTTATGTATCTGTGTATATATACATAAACATACATACTTACATACATAAAACAAAGTATTTTAAAATATTTACGTATGTTCTGTGTTGCTTATTTCATTTAACACTTTTATTGGGATTGTCTTCTACCAATACATGTTGTTATGTGCCCTCAAATCCATTCTAATTCATAGCAACCCTATGTATTATATAATACAATGAAATACTGCCCACTGTACCATCCTCACATTGATTTGTGTAAGCCAATTGTAGCCACTGTGTCAATCCCTCTCATTGAGGGCCCTCCTCTTTTTCTCCGGCCTTGTATTTTACCAAGTTATGGTGTCCTCTGGGGACTGGTCCCCATGATGTCCAGAGTAATAGAGGAATAACTTAGAGGTCAGGCTTGTAAGGAGCAGTCCTAGCTGTGCTTGTAAGACAAATAAATTGTCCTTATGCTTGCTGACAATTGTATATTTCACTAAATTGATATATACAGTGGAGCCAGTTATCTGTTGGGTTTCCTAGTTTAACTTTTTGAGAATAACATAAACATGTTTTAGTTGGTACCCTTAGTAGAGTAGTTGTGATTTTTTTCCCCTTCTAGGTTATTTACAAAACTCGAATGTAAATTTGAGCAAATTCTTTCCATTTTCCTCACCCCCCTCCCCCATCAAATTGTACAACGCAATGCTTAATCCCCTTTTCCCCCTGTACATCCACATCCCTCTGCCTCCAGCCTCTCCCACCCCTCCTGGATCTTTATACTCATTCTACAATAATAGTCTGCTACAATATTTATTTTTGTGATACTGAGTTCACTCAGCTTAATGTTCTCCAGTCCCTCCCAAGTTAGGTAATAATTTACAAAATTATTGCTCCTGCATGCTGTGTAGTATTCCATTGTGTGAATGTACCATAATTTCTCAATCCACTTATTTGTGGTTGGACATTTGGGCTGTTTCCATGTTCTTGTGATGATGAGTAATGCTGCTATGAACAAAGTACAAAGTACAGTAGTTCTTAACCAGAAGTATGTACAAGAATCACCTAGGAATTGTCTTTTTTTAATATACATGATTAGACTGCACTGTAAACAGGTTTGAGTCTTAAGTATAGGAATTTTTTCTTTACAGCTACCTTTGCTTCAATTATGGTAGAGTCCCCCCCTTCCCCACAATAGTGTTAAATCTTAAATAGAGACATGAGGCTCTCACATACCCAAACCATAAACCTAGGGATTTTCTTGTTCTTGTTGTTAGGTTCATCAAGTCAAGTACGACCATAGTAACCCTATGAACAACAGATCTGAACCCTGTCCTGACATCTTTTAGTGTTTATGTAATTTTAAGCCTGGAATAATTTTGGATTTACACAAACATTGCAAAGGTAATACTATTCTACCCATCACTCAGTTTAACCTAAATTTTACTTTATCACTTCCTTAAAAAGCGTGACTCATTTGTTAAAACTGAGAAACCCTTGTTGGAATTAGCTAAATTCAGACTAGCTTTTACTAGATTTTCTACAAATGCCCTCTGTCTTTTCTAGTGGATACTTCACGTACTAACTGCATTTACTAACTGAGCAGCAGCATTTTGGACACCTTAAATCTTTTTCATAGGCACCAAGTTCTAGCATTTGCCCTTAAAAATTTTAAGTTCCCATTTCCATTCTCCTGGTTCTTCTCTATCATTTCTTTCTTGGATTGTCCTCTTAACTTCTCACAGCTTTCAATCTCTCTCTTTCCAGTCCTTTGCATTCTGAAAAACATGTTTGATCATCCATTTTTCCCTCAACTCAAAACTTTGACAATTTTCCATTGCTTATATTGTTGGTAGGTCCCATCAAGTCGAGTATGACCCATAGTGGCTCTATGAACAACAGATCTGAACCTTGCCCTATCTTGTGCCATCCTCACAATCTCTGACATAGTTGAGCTCATTGCTATAGTCATCATGTTAATCCATCTGGCTGAGGATCTGCCTCTCTCTTCACTTTCCAAGCTTAATGTTCCTCTGCTAGGAGCAGCTTCTAGCAATGTGTCCAAAGTATATGAGATGAAGCTTGATCATCTTTGCCTTCAAGGAGCACTCCGGGTGTACCTTCTCCAAGATATACCAGTTTGTTCTTTTTTTTTTTTCTATAATTATATTTTATTAATTTTCATAAACATTTACAGAGATTTTGGGTTTCCATTCATTCACCGCTGCACCATTCTCTCTACC